GGGTCACATCAGGTGTGGTGGTGAGACAGGAAGGAAGAGGGCAGGGCACAGCCATTCAAGGAGAGTCACAGCAATGGACACCAAGATGGCACACATTTCTACTCCCAGTAGACCTTGAGCTTCATTATACGCTCATTGTAATGTATTAGCCTGCGAAATGGCACTCCCGCCAGCACCATGACCGGTCCAAGGCTGACCATAAAAGGCCAAAAAGCGGGCAGTGGTCCAGTTCCTGAAAATCCCCACCCCCTCCCCAAGGTAGTTGGAATAATCCTGCCACTTGTTAGCACATGAAAGAATTGAGCCCCTAAAAGCCAGCCACACTGCTCCTGACGGCCTCTAGCTCCCGCACCTTCTGAGACGGCCTGCGCTCAGTCTATGGAGTGCCCATCGCTCTGAATAAATCTACTTTTACTCAACTGTGCCTTGCTGTTGAATTCTTTCCTGCAAGAAGCCAAGGACCCTCACTTGGCGGGGCACATCCCAGGGACTCAGCTGAGGCCTGGGACACGGCCCTCCTCTCACAACATGTTTTCCTTTATCAGTCGGAGTGGGTGGGGAGTTTCCCACAGATTGCATTTGTGCCCAGCACTGGATTATCTGGGGCCATCTGGGCGATTGGTTGTGCAATGACATGCCCCCACTCCCAGGAAAACGCTAAAGGCAATATTCTATCACATTCAAAATGGAAACACATGAAAAATCCCGCCTTTGGTTCTTAGACAAGGCCGCAAAGAAAACCTAGACTGAAGTTCAGTTTCATACTGAAATCCAGTGTTCTCCTGCCCCCTGTCACTCTCCCTAGGTTTGTCTGTCTGCTCTTTAGAAGCCAAGCAGCACTTTTGTAAAGCATAAACGTAATCAGGCTTTTTTTTTTTTTTTTTTTACTGCCTTCAGGAAAATATCCAACCCCATTAATAAAGCTCACTAGGCTGGTTTCTTGCTTCTGCCTCTGCCTCTGTTTCTACCCCCCTGTCCTCTACCTGCCTTGTGCACAGCCACCCCTGGTCGCTCAACATGCCCTCTACTTGCGAGGCTCTGCCCAACTCTGGCCCCCTGGCAAACTCCTACCTATCTCTCAAGACCCAGTTCAAAAAGCCCTCCCTGCCCAATGTTCTCAGGTTCTTGCGAGCAGAGCAAAACACATCCCACTTGGCATCACCCTGGGTGTTTGTGTTTCTTTCAGGAGACAGCTTCCCTGCTGTTCTGCCCTCACTGGTTACAGGAGCACCCGCCCTGAAGTCTGTGTGTAGAGTGTGAGAGGTACTGTCACGACCAGGACCAGGACAAACAGCGGGGTGAAGGCAGGCCATGGTAAGAAGAAGCAGGGTGGGGGCGGCCCTATCAACCAGCACTCACAGCAGAGTGAGACAACGCGTTTATCTTCCTGTTCCAGACCTGGTTCCTCCAGGGCTGGGCATGTCTCCTTGGCCTCTGTTCCTCAGAATTTTGTGCAGAGCGCTGGGATTGACATCTGTTTGCTGAGCCGAAGGGTGCCCTGCCACCTTCAGAGGCTTCTGCCTCAAACAGAACCTGCTACTCTTCCCAGGTTACAGGCATCCTTCATCCAAAGGATGTGTTAGGTGCTGTGGGGCCATGGAATTGAGGCTTCTGATCCTTTCTCTCCGGGACGGTCCCATCCCCCTGGAGAAAGTGGAAGGAAGTCATGGTCCAGATTGTAAGTGTTTTAGGAATTTCTGTGTTCGAGTAACTGCTGGCACCCCAGCATGGCAGGGTCAGGAGAGCTGTGTATCCCCATGAGGCACGAATTCCCAAACTTTGTGATTTGACACCTTATGGTTTTATTTTTCCTCATGATGTGCCTTCCCCTTTCCACCCCTGAAATGTGCCTCCTGACACATACACATGCACACACACACACACATACACGCACGCACGCACACATACACACGTTCATCTTCTAAATTAAAGTGAGTTAAAATGACTTTAAAATTTACCTAATCCCCTTTGAGATAAGTGGAGATACCATTGAGGGTCACAGAACCAAGGCAGGAAACCTCTGCTGGCAGTGACAATGGTGACAATGGTGACAATGGAGCAGAGGAAGTGTCAAAGCATCCTTTCCTCCCCCACCTCCCATCCTGGTGGTAGCAGCAGGATCAGCATGCCTGGGCTCGGTTTTTCTTTGCTGTGAGACTGTGGGCAAGCCCAGTTCCCTCCTGAGCCTCAGTCCCTTTATCAGTGCAGTGGGAACATGGGTACGGTGCGGCCACACCGCTCTTCTGCAGGTGAGGATTAAATAGCACAGGGAAGGCAGTGGCATGATGGGGAGTCGGGGGTTTGGGGAGGTGAGAGGTTGGGGAGGGTGGGGGGTGGGATTTGAGGGGGCAGAAGTGAGGAGGTATGTGGTAAGAACTCTAACTGTTCATATCTCGCAAGACTCCCTCAGGCATCTTTTATACGTGACCTCTTTAAGTGTCATGGAAAAGGGGCATGAACACCTGGTCACCTCAGGTTTGCAACTGGATGGCTATATTACCTACCAGGGCTGACTTAACAAAGTCCCACAGATGGAGTGGTTTAAACAATAAAAATATATTTTCTCACATTTCTGGAGGCTGGAACTCCAAGATCAAGGTGTCAGCAGGGTTGGCTCCTTCTGAGGACACCTGGCCTTAGAGATGGCTCTCTTCTCCCTGTCTTTTCATACGGTCCTCCCTGCCTGTCTGTGTTCTAATCTCCTCTTTTTATAAGGACATCGGTCAGATTGGAGCAGGGCCCACTATAAGGCCTCATTTTAATTTGATTACCTCTGAAAAGGCATTATCTCCAAATAGAATCACATTCTGAGGTTCCGGGGGTTAGGACTTAAACATCCAAACTTGGGGAGGCTCAGTCATCACCCATAACCATAACCTGCTTAGCCAGGGGCTAGACGGCGCGCTCCCGTCCTCAGCAGAAACGAAGTGATGGGGTCGGGGTAGGGGGTGGTGCTGAGCAAGAGATTCTTGGGCAGCATTCGGTGCCTCTGTCCCCACCAGGGTCCCAGCCCAGCAATGGATGGGCTGCCAGCCCCCTGCTGTCCTACTCGGCCACCTTGTAGTCCTTTCCCGTAGAGATCTGAATGGCTGCAAAATCTGCCGAATTCAAAGGAGATGCCTTTCTGTCATGCCCTCTGAGAACCCTCCGAGCAGATGTCTGCATCTGCAATGAATGATAAATCAGCACCCATAATGGAAGAGGCTGGGCATCCCTGGCTCTGCCTATCTGCAAAGCCTTTCAGTCCTCAGAAGGGCTGAAAGGAGCCAAATTAGAGTTCACTTTGAAGATATAAAAGCCGGAGATGAAATTATTAAGTTTTTTTCTGTCTTTTGCTTCCCTCCAACCCTCCCTCCCACCCGCCACCTCACACCATTACTGCTATAAGCAAGACTTATGAAGGGCAATTTTCTTTTCAATAGAATTCCTTTTCTCGGAAAATATAAAGTGCAAATTCTAATTTGCTCAACATTCTTAGAGAACCAGTTACATACCCGGTGCCGTGCAAAACAGCCTCGAGCCTTTACAGCCTTTAACGCTAAAGGGAAGGGAGGCTCCGTGTTGGGAGGAAACTTTTCCGCGACTCTCTTTTGCAAGTTGACTGTGCCGGGACGTGAGCCCAGGTTTGCAGAGTTCCGAGTCCCGGGTGTGACGTATGGGGTTTCACTGATGCACTTGATTTTGCTTGCTTTCTTGGTACTGGAAGCACTGGAGTACCCAGCAGTACCTTGAGGTCAGCGCGTTCCCGGCACAGACCGAGGGCAGAGCTCTGAACTCACACACCGGTTTGCGCTCGGGCTGCGCCCTTTGCTCCCATTCCCATCCATTCACTCTGAGCATCTTTCCACATTTTCTTTCTTTCTTTGACCTCCTTATGGTCTCTCCAAACTGCAGCAGCTTGAGGATGTGGGCTCACATGCATCTGTTTCCCCAAAGCTCTCCTCGAGGGCGTAGGTTTACTCCTCAAAAGTCTCCTCTACTTTGAATGGCGACATTTTTAATTATCGTTGCCATTGGTCCTTATCATAAAATCAGGAAGGTGTGCCGGGGACGGGGACAGAAACAAAGCAAAACATGAAAACCATATTCCACGATGCAGAAAACTTGGTGAAATCACCTTGGGTGTGGGAGGAGAGGGAGATTTCAGAAAGCATGGGGATTACTGGTAAAAATACACTTTTTAAATTTCCTTTTTTAATGAAGTATAGTAGATTTACAGTGTTGTGTTAGTTTCAGCTGTACAGCAAAGTGATTCAGTTATACATATATATATATATTATTTTTCGGATTCTTTTCCATTATAGGTTATTATGAGAGATATTGAATATGGTTCCCTGTGCTGTACAGTAGGTCCTTGTTGTTTATCTATTTTATATATAGTATTGTATATATGTTGATCCCAAACTCCTAATTTATCTTTCCTCCCTCTTCCCCTTTGGCAACCATCAGTTTGTTTTCTATGTCTGTGGGTCTATTTCTAGTTTTTTAAATAAGTTCATTTGTATCATAGTTTTTAAAGATTCCACATATAAGTCAATATCATATGATATTTGTCTTTCTCTGTCTGAATTATTTCACTGCATATGATAAATTCTAGGTCCATCCATATTCTTGCAAGTGGCATTATCTT